GAGAGAGAGAGAGAGAGAGAGAGAGAGAGAGAGAGAGAGAGAGAGAGAGAGAGAGAGAGAGAGAGAGAGAGAGAGAGAGAGAGAGAGAGAGAGAGAGAGAGAGAGAGAGAGAGAGAGAGAGAGAGAGAGAGAGAGAGAGAGAGAGAGAGAGAGAGAGAGAGAGAGAGAGAGAGAGAGAGAGAGAGAGAGAGAGAGAGAGAGAGAGAGAGAGAGAGAGAGAGAGAGAGAGAGTGTGTGTGTGTGAGTGAGAGGGAGGAGAGAGATAGAGAGAAATGGTTAGAGGGGGAAGGGGTGGTTTGTGGTGGTAAATACCCGGCTGTAACAACACACATAACCGATCGGAAAGGCCAAAATTCTGCGTGTGGATTACAGTCAGAGCAGCAGACGATCATGCGGTGGATGAAGCCTGATGTCTAGTTTTATTTCCAGCATTTGATTCGGCCAGACTTCAGCTCGTGTCATCATGCTGTAGATCAGTGTGTGGCTACATTAGTCTGGATTAGGCTTGTTTAACACCTTTAAACTCTCGGAATGAGCGCTTTCACGTCGGATCATCGGTAGATTCGTGTTGTTCTCGTCTCAGGCTTTTGTGTGTGTTGTACAGGAGCTCGCGAGCTAACAACAAAAGCGCTAGCACAGCCGGCTAGTCCATCAAAACACCGGTGCCTTTAGATGTTTTATTTGTAAACCAACCAGTGATGGACCTCGGCAAGGATTTAGCTGCTTTACTCATGAGATAAATGTGCGCTGGGACTCAGAGGTTCATTAAATGAATCGATGAGTTTGATATTTGTAGGTTAGATTAGCATTAGTCTGTTAGCATTAGCGACTCCTTTGTTGAGAAGACGATCAATCGCTTTGCTTTTTATTGAGGAATATTTGGTTTTTATTGTTTATATCGTGCTACCGTTTATCTCAGACGTTCGTGTGACTGTAACATCAGTGTTTTAGTAAGATAGGGCTAGTAAACGAAAGGAAATGTTGAACAGCTAGTGTCTGGTAATATTCGCCGATAGAACAAACAGGGATATTGTGTTCAAATAGCGATACTTAAGCGACAGAGTAGCACGTTTTAACGCTTAAAGCTATTATGGACCACACCTCGAGCTTAAACAAGATCTGCTTGCTGTGGACACAGCTACTCTTCATGGGTAAGACACATTATTTCGCTGCTCAATATATCATGAAATCAACTTGTGTGTTAAAATACTAGCTGGTTCTGAAAAATAGCGCTTGTGTGTCTTTAATGCTAAACAAGGTTGCTTCGTGGAACTGACAGAGTAGTGATATTTCAGTGGTGCTGCTGCTGTGTGAACTAGTGTGCTGGTGTTCATATACACTGTGGTTTCTCTAATGGACGAATGGGGTTGATTTAATTACAGCGAAACTCTCAGGCACACTTTAAACATGCAGAGTGAGTGGAATAACATGGCCTGTGTGTTTGAGATCAGATCAGGCTGAATGAAGACTAATATTGTCTATCTCTGTGATTGAATCCCTTCATCTTGACTGAAGACAACACAAATTAATCCTTTGCCCTTCTTCTCTCATTTATTTCCCAGGCTCCACCTCTCTTTATTTGACCTGATAGGGAATTTTGCTCATCAACAGTCGCACATTTTCTGGGGAAAAAAAGCATACACTGATTTGTTAATGTTTTCATTCGAAGTGCTTCCAGCATTATCTGAATTCATTTCTAACCATTTTGACAAAAACCTCATGTTACCCAGCTGGATAACATTACCTGGGTCACATTTGTATCAGCACAATTCTCAACAAAAAAAAATCAGATAACGAAAGTGCAAAATCAACAAACTTTAGATGCAGCATCATCGTGCTGGGCGGTATGACCAAAAATTTATATCACGGTATTTTTCAAAATGATACCGGTTTCACGGTACATGACGGTATTTTTTTTTCATGCATGACCAGGTGTTAATCATGTTTTCTACTGATTGAGAGAGGAAATACTGCAGTATATTGACTTAGAATGACTTATTTTACTGTCATGATGAGTGAATATTGTCATAAAATACCACACTAAATAGTGACTAAACACGACCCCCTTTTAATACATGTTAACCAGGAGTCACTCTCATTTATAATCGCTGCATCGTCTGATAAAATCAACATGCATCTACACTAAAGAGCGGCTATGCGGGTGTTTTGGCTATATTACTTTTTTGTCTCATGCAGCGCACTGCCTGCGTCTGAGTAACAAACTAAAAAAAACAACAAACTAAAAAGTGCATGTGATATTAACAGACGAACTACGCTCATATTTATAATTCCAAACAGTCAGTAAGCGACAGGTGCTAGCAAACGCTGTTTTGTCCTCATTTATTGAGGAGTCGGCTGTGGTGCGGCTAACTGAAAGCACTGCATCTCTGTCGCTCACTGCACAGAACAGACGCCGAGAGAGTGACACTTCTCCGGGAAAGTCAGACCTCGCGTTCGCGGGACAGCACTGGCGAAATCTTCCAACTGAACCATAGCTAAG